TCTTTATTCACAGTATATATAAAATATATGTGACTATGCATATGATAATTAAAGTATTGTTTGAAATGTAATTTACAATATGATTTAATGTACAATCCAATCAATAATTAAGCACATCATAGCTGTGTTTATAAATTTTATGCATACTATTATTATGTTTTCATATCATAATGTCTTTATTCACAGTATAAAATATATGTGACTATGCATATGATAATTAAAGTATTGTTTGAAATGTAATTTACAATATGATTTAATGTACATATGAGCATTTGCATCATGTGGTGGGTTAGTCCATGATTGTAAATTTAAAGTAATGTTAATATTTATTATGCGAAATCAATAAGAGACTCATACAGAACGATAGACAGTAAGGAATCCAGCGTTTTAGATCTTTTTTAAATTAACTCATCAATGTAAAAATTAATTATGAAATCTTAATTTTAAGATTTCAATCTACTTAAAAAAGTTTTGATCTTTATTGTCAAAAAAGTTTTAGGCTTTAAAATCTTCATCATCAATTGGATCTTCAGACAATATTGGTGTCGTATGAAAGATCATAAAAAGTTGAGAGAATTTCCTAAATAGGAGTAAAAAAGTTTTAAAATTCCAAAATAGGAGTATCATGTTTTTTATTCCCTAAATAGGAGTAAATTTCTGCCAAGTTTGGGCATTACAAGGCTTTAAACATGACATTTTCTTCCAAACTTGGCAGATTACTCATATTCAGGGAATAAAAAACATGATACTCCTATTTTGGAATTTCAAAACGTTTTCACTCCTATTTAGGGCAATTTCTGTAAAAAGTTTTGAATTTTGATATTTTTTTAATAAAAATTAGAGTACAAATAAAAATGTTATAACACTTTGAAAACCAGATATTTTTTTCCCTTTTTCTTCAAATGAATTGGCCTAATTAATGTGAATAGCTATTCATGAAACGTGTGAATTTGCATTGAGAGAATTAATTAAATCTAAAATATTATAAACACCAATGAGAGTTAGGGTATTTTTGGTATAGAAAATTTGTTGGTGTAACAAAAAGCAATATTCCCTTGTACATTATGCTCCCATTCTCGTACCATACATTTTTACTTTTGTTTCCTCCGTTACTTCCGTTAAAGTTTAAGTGTTCACTGCATCTAGCCGTCTCTGTCTTTGGAGTTTGGACTTCACGTTCTCCTTTTGTGTTAGAGTATTGATTTTTTTTCTCATTTAATAGTTCCATTTAGTTTTGATTAATTTTAAATTTCAAATTCATTTTTTGTGGTGCCGTTTCCTTTGATCTTTGAACTATCTCATTTTAAAATCAAACAGTTATAGGCTTGTAAAATCTCAAGTTTTAGCTTAGATCTAGGTTGTAACCTTGTACCCTACAAGTTGCAACCTTTGCAGAAACGATTATATATTGCTATTGCTATTGCTATTGCTATTGCTATTGCTATTGCTATTGCTATTGCTATTGCTATTACTATTGTTATTATTATTGTTATTATTATTATTATTATTATATTATTATTAATACTATCGTATTATTAATATGATCATTATCATCATTAATACGGAGTAATTTATTCATCTTCTTGAAGCTTGATTGGTCCTACATCCAAGAAATTTATGAAGTTGTTTGAATAGAATCAAACATATCAGATAAAAGAATTAATACTTAATAATTAAGTCGCTATTTTCTTTTGAATCATAAAACTTCACAACCTGAATATTAGTGAATTTTACCGTTCTTTCGATCTTCAATTCCTATACCTTTCATTACATATATGTATCGTGTGTTATCATCCAAAAGTCTCATATTAAATCTGACCATCAATGCTATATGTTTGTCACAATGCTTATGATACATGTTATTACGCAACTAGGGACATGGCATCTAGCCCATTTGTGGGTTTACATTTATTTTATTGGCAAAAATGAATATTAATAATCCAACTTTTAGCGGTTTTCTTACAAAATCCCACATAATCATAATTCAGAAATAATCTTATCTTTGCATTCATCTTCTTTGATCGATCATTGACCGGTTGATCGGGATAACCTGGTATTCCAGGTTATTTTCTTTTAATCACAAACCATTAAATCATAAATCTCAAATTCTACAAATCTTCTCAAAATGATCCCACATATGGTTTTTCTTTTTTCTTCCTAAGAGTTTTCTCTCTTATCCTTTATCATCACAATGTTGTCATTCCCTTTTTATAATGTATTTACCTTGTTTATGTATTCCTTTATCCAATTACCATAAGAATTTTCTTTTGATAGTTTTCCCTTTTGCTTCTCCTTTTTATTTTCTTCCCTTTTTATGTATTCCTATTCGTCGTAGTCTCTTTTTACAACTTTTTTCCCTACTACTTGTTTATATTTTTCATTGATTTTTACAGAAAAGAGAAAAATATATTAGGGGTGGAATCAAGGTAAGAAAAGGAAAAATAAAATAAATAAGTGGAAGTAAAAAGAAAGTAAAGTGAAAAATTAGTAGGATGAGAAAAGGATCTTTTATAAGAAGGGAACTACTCTGGAAGAAATACATAAAATGGAAATGAAATAATAAACGAGAATGATAGAGTATATGGGTCTGGACCACATGGCCCACATACTCACAAGGTCAAAACTCAAAAGTCATCAACAGGACACCCACATAGGCACGCTACGTCCCAGTGTGGTCCACAAGGGCCAGGAGTCGGATCAACCTAGGGCATCACCCAGGTTTCGGGGGTCGCATCGGTCCATGGGACCGCATCGGCCAAATCACACCGCATCGGCCAGACTTCATCCTGGCGGAATGCATTTTTCTACTTTATTTACTAAGTATTGTACTCAGCCCATTAGTGGCTCTATTTCGTCCAAAGAACACATGATTATTGTAATGGGCCTCCTAAGGCCAAAGTTAGGGGCCCAAATCCACTTTTTTACCTATAAATAGACCCTAAGGGGCTAATTATAGGGGGTTGAGAAATACTAATTGCTCACTTTCTCTCTCTGGCTCTTACTTCTCTCTAGAATTAATTACTCTATCAGAGAAGAAGAAAAAGGAAGTAAAAAATGAGATATATAAACTTGGAAAAGAAATAAAAATAAGAAATAAGAAGATGAAAAAATCGAATAAAAGAGTCTAGAGGATAAAAATGAAAACTGAAAACTTTTAGAGAGAAAAAAGAAAAATGATGTGTGGGGCCGTTTGAAGAAGAATTGTTAGAGGTGACTGATAGAGTATTAAAATTTAGAGAGAAGTGAGAGCTAGCGAGAGAGAAAATGAGTAATTAATATTTCTCAATCTCTATAACTCTATAACTACCCCTAAGAGGCTATTTATGGGGGGAAATATGGGTTTGGGCTCCCAAGTCTTGGGCTTGGGAGTCCCCTTACAAAATAAGGCCTCTAATGGGCTGGATACATGATAAATTTGTCTACGTATAAAATCTTTCCTATCAGACTATTTTTGGCCAACGTAGGACCAGTCCGAAGGAGGGTTTGACTGATGAGGGGCCCTATTTTGTTCATGGGCTTCTGAACCATGTTCTGAATTGATAGATGTTTGGTCGACGGAGGAGCATCTCACCAATGGAGGATCACGTGGATGCCAGTCTTGATTGTATTTAGTTTTCTGAGAATGTGAGCCATGGGTCTGGGCCCATATACTCCATCAGTGACATTTATGATTTAATATTTTGCAAAGAAGGGAAAATAAACTGGAATAGCAGGTCATCAGTCGGTCAGGGACCGATGACAAAAGATGAGGTGTAAATGTGAGATTATTTATGAATTATGATTATGTGAAATTATTATAAGAAGACTACTACCAATGAGTGGGATAATAAATTTCCATTTTTCCCTTTTATAATATTTTGTTTTGTTTTGTTTTGTTTTTAGAGGGTTCAATTATCAATGGAGTGAGAATGATCCCAGTTTACCCTAGCCCCCCATCCCCTCGCCCCCCTGGGGTAAAAAAATGGATCATCTTTCATACGAAGGAATATTAAATGCTCTGTTTTTAAGTTGATAGAAATGTTAACATGTCGATCAAACACTAAAAGTAATAATCATAACAAATCAACATGCAAATATACATATTTTTAATTTTTTTATATACATATTTTTTAATAAAAAGTACATTGGGCACTTTAATTTACTCAATCGCGCAACACGCGTGTTGAAAACTAGTGTTTTAATAAGAGTGATAATCAGTTTTATACTAACCAATCACAACAGATTGACACTTCATTGATTTATAACTCAGTTTTACTATATAAAACAATAGATAGTGTGCTTACTTAAACTTATTTCAGTTTCACATTAAATTATATCATACTTAAACAGATTGAATCAGATCTGATTAGATCGGATTTCAATAGTTTATATAAATAAACTAGATATTTCATACGCAAATATAAGATGAATGTCAGATTTGACCAGACTTAAATATTACAAATCAAATCGGATAAAAATAAGAAAAAATTGATAGCAATAATCTCAACTATTGGCGGTCCGCTCATAATAATCCCAACTATCGATTATTTCGGAATAATCATAACTTTAGGGACCTTCCGCCAATAATGACCCTACGTGACTGGCTATAAATAAATTCCTATAATTTTTAAAGTGGATGAAAAGAGATATAACAAGTAATCCCTATAAATAATATCTACTTTTAATTTTTATTTTTTAATTTCTATTTAAAACTCACATGTTATAACAGATGATATCCGGTTATGGACTATTATTGACGGAGTGTCCATATAATTGGGATTATATACAAATAATAAATAGTTGAGATTATTGTTAGCGGATCGGCAATTATTAGGATTATTATTTTCAATTGTTCCTAAAAATAATCAATATAAAAACGTTCTTAATCTGTTCATTTTTTATCACCACGTTCAATGTGGTAATAAATTTAGTTGACGTTGACGTTTAATTGAAAAACAATTCTTGTGTTTAATCAAACACGGTAAATAAAGACTCAAGTCTGTTTAGGGGGTAAAAATGTTGTTTTAATCAAAGACATCACTTTTATCGCATCATCATCCGAAGCCCTAGAATTTACAGGAAATTCCAATCCATCGTTCTCGCCCGACCCAATCTAATCCACACCGTCCATCGACCGATCTCCCCAATCATCGCCGGCGACTCAACCGAAGTCTTCTCACACATATCTCCGGCGCGAAATCGTACGGTACCGCCGTCAATTATCTGTCGGCAACAATCGAAACTCACTGGCTTTCTCTTGAATGGTAATCGAATCTCACCATACCTTTCAAACAATGTTTTCTGTGTGCAAGTAAATATATTTCTATGCACCATACACACAATCTGTCAATTTCTTTTTGCACGACCAAACTTTGTTATTTAAAAGTCTGGAATAAAATGGTGTGCAATGTACACCTATTTTGTTCTTTCAAAGGGGCGTTTTATCAACTTGAATTTATGCGTTTTTTCATGTGTTATATCCATGTGAAGCTGAATACAGGTAACGGGTGTATAAAGTTGTGAACTTGGCTTGAGATGGAAGGGAGCGAAGAGGGGGTGATGCATCAGCATCCTCAAGTTCATTACCTGCAGGAGCATGATGATCACCATCACCATGGTTTTATGAACAATGTGGGTGTGATGGAGCATGATGGTGATGATGGTGGTGGTGGGAATGGAGGGAGCGAAGGAAGTGACTGTATGGAAGGTGATGTTGCTACTGCTGATCCTGGGAATCTGTCAGATAATCATCATAGTGCAATGGTAGTTCATGGTAGTGGTGAAACTAGTAATCAGCTGACCCTCTCGTTCCAGGGGCAGGTGTATGTGTTTGATTCTGTGTCGCCTGACAAGGTATTTTTGATTTTATGCTTCAAACTAATGCATTTTGTGTTACCATTTTTCTTTCATTCAGTTAGCCAATGTCTTGAATTGGACATTTGGACTGATACTGCATTATGTATCCTAAGTAGGTATGATTTTAAATGAATCCAAATGTTTATAGTTTGATTTGTGAAATGTTGACTTCCTGGTCACTTGCCTGTTTATCTGTAACCTGAGCAAGGATTTAGTTTGTTTCTTCCAAACATTGGAGCTACTATGTCGTATTATTAGTTGTAGCAGAATATGGTTTTAGATGTTCCTATGACATGTCTCCCACTTAGGTAGGCAGTTGATGTTAATAAACCCTGTCTTTGAGTGTATTTCTAAGTGGGTGCTTCCTTATCTGGAAAAGTAATTTGATTTTCTGGTAAACAAAATATATTTCGATGTTGGGCACTTTAGCTTTTATTTGTTCGTAAAACAGGCACAAAGCTTATATATCTGTATACGAAAGCTACGTCAATAAATTAATCGATATATAATTTTCTTGTTTCAACTAATCAAGTTAGGGAGCATTGCCAAGTAGGAGAAAAACATGGGTCAATGGGTGCTTTCCCTAAATTTGACTAGTATGTTTTGTAAGAGTAAAGATTCAATGGATGTACGTAAATACACATACCTACATAATTTAACTTTTACGATACAAAAAATAGAAAAAAATCAACCACGGGGGACCTCTGCCATCCTGAAACACTACTTTCATCATGGATTCTCACAACCCTCTGCATTCTGAAACTATACTGACAGATAACTATTCTGGATTCCAACAACCGCCGTCCTAGCATTTTCATCCAAATATTGATCGGAGATTTACCATAGGTGAGCGGCAGTTGGGTATGGTGAAAGACTGATGCAGTTTGTTTTATATTAGAATAGTAAATATTATTTGAATTACATGAGTAAATGCTATTAACCAAATTCAGAGAGGGTAGTAACAAAATATGTAGTCCTATTTATCGAATAAAAACACCGCACTCCTATTCATGGGGAAAATCCTTTTTTTACTCTTGATGAGTTAATATTGTATTTTCACAATATCAACCAAACACAATAGTTAATCTCATGTTCTCACGCAGGAATAATCCTCTAACCAAAGGCTGTACTTAGGTGGTATTTTGGTGGAGTGTAAATTCAGAAGTAATATAATTACCAAAAATAATATTATGCTGATGGTGCATAATTGACTTACATGTTGCTTATTCTTCTGCATTTTTTAGAGCATAAATATCATCTGTTATCTATTTGTTTCACTTAAATTCTTTTAATTTTTTACTTTAGGTGCAAGCTGTGCTCTTATTGCTAGGTGGACGCGAGGTCCCTCCAACCACTCCTATGTCTGTACCAAATCACAATTATAGAGTAAGAAAGAACCCGAACTTGGAGCACCTTCCAAAATAATGCCCAAGTTAGAACTACTATCCCATCAAATATGGATATCTCAACTGATTGTTATTTTTTTACAGGGGGTACCTGCTGTTCCTCAGAAGCTTAACGTTCCACAAAGAATCGCATCATTAATTAGATTCAGAGAAAAGCGTAAAGACCGGAATTATGATAAGAAAATCCGTTACACTGTCAGAAAGGAGGTTGCTCTCAGGTAAGAACAGTACCCCCCTTTTCTCCAAGTTAGTTAGTCAATATAGGGCTGATTTTTTTGTCACACTTGAATAGATCCATGCTTCATCTTTTTATTTCATTTTTTAATTATAGTAAAGCTTTGTCTGTTGCATTAACCAGGTCCTTAACTCGTAGAACACTATTAAATGTTCGCCTTGTCATTGCACCTTAATTTAAAAGACGTAGTTTGTGTTGACATTTATGTGGTGTTTGTAGAATGCAACGAAACAAAGGCCAGTTTACATCTTCAAAACCCAATCAAGATGAATCTGCAACTGCTTCAAACTGGGACTCGTCTCAGGGATGGGCTTCCAATGGGGGCGGATCTCAAATTCAAACTCAAGAGATTTTGTAAGCATTGAATTCAATATGTCTATAGTAGTGAAATTGTAGTTTCTTGAGCTGTTATTGTACTTTTTATAAATAGTCCATATGTTGGTGGTCTGCTTAGGTCAAATTGGGTTGATGAGAATATGTTGGTGGTCTACTTTTTATAAAGAAAATTCTGAAAAGCTCAGAATTTTCTTTAGTTTGGTTTGGAAAATTTTGGCACGATATGAGAATGTAACACATTGTACAAAACTTGGCTTTTTATCCTCATAAATAATAGGGAAAATAACTTTAAATGATACCAACTATCACACATAAACCAATAATATAACATATTTTGAAAATGATTTTTAATAATACAAACTATTTGATTATAAAACAAAAAAAAATGTGGAGTCACTTTTCGATAAGAAATCCAGTCACTTAAAGCATTAAAAACTAATAGCAAACTATCAAATAAGTGATATTTGGAAATATAGTCACTTATTTTGATATTTTGGTACTACTTTATGATGAATTAAATAACTGAATTTTCAGTGAAAAATTGTTGTCTATCATTTTTTTTCTATATTTAGATAGTTGTCATTATTAAAAGTTATTTCCAAAGTACGTATTATTCTTGGTCATGGAAGATAGTTTGTATTATTTGAAGTTATTTTCTCTAAATTATAAGATAAGTTTCAAAGCTTTATAAAACTGATATTCCAAATTATGGAAGTTGGTGCTAAAAAGGGTAGCTGGGTGCACGAAGGCGCCCCCGCAAGGCAAGGGTCCGGGGAAGGGTCCCACCACAAGAGTGTATAATGAGCAAGCCTTCCTCTGTCAAATATGAACCCGTGACCCCTCGGCCACAAAGCTAACACCTTAACCGATGCGCCAAGGCTCCCCTTCGATTTGGAAGCTAGTGTTAATTTATTAAAAAAAATAGAGCTTTAAATGAACCATTTATCGATCCCATATTACTACACGAGAAGCTTATGGGAATTGCATTGCTTGATTGCCTAGGTTTCAGAGCCAGAAAAAGTGTCTTTAAATAAGAATAGAACTGGAGAATAATATTTCTTTTTGTATGCTCTCATGGCAGCTGCCGGCACTGTGGTATTAGTGAGAAATCAACGCCAATGATGCGACGTGGACCAGAAGGTCCAAGGACCCTTTGCAATGCATGTGGGCTAATGTGGGCAAATAAGGTGATCACCTACTGTTCGATGCCATCTCATGTGGGCTAATGTCTCTCTGTGCATACAATCTAACACACTTTTTAGGCACCATAATTAGGTGACTGGTTTGGGATTGGTGTAAATGTCTTATTTTTGGGATAATATTTGATGACTTCAGTCATTTTATTTTCCAAAGCCCTAGTTGCACACTTGTTTATCCCAATATTTTCTTTTGAATTCCATTTTTTCTTATATTTGACTTTCATTGCTGAGCGTCCAATCGTAGGATACTAATGTCGAATTTTGTTAGACTTTTGAAATCATGTTTTACCTAAGTACATAACTTTTCTATACTCTGGGATGTAAGTCATCAATTGGAGCAATATGGATGAAAATTCTAGATTTTCCTGATTCTTCTTGCATTAGATGGTTAAAAGGGAAGGAAGATGAAAAGTTATATAGAAATACATCATTTAACTAATATATACTCTTTTGTAGCTATTTGCTAATTGAAGAGTAAATATATGCACAAGTTGGATAACAAAAACCGAACCTCAGAAATTCCCTAACCAATCAAGCCTTTACAAGGTCATTATTGTTATAGATAGACTGGGTTACTATTGATTTTTATTTAGTGATATTAGTGATTAGTTGTTTGCTCAGCACATGTACTGCAACAATGTTACCGAAAAATCTGTTCAGCTAGGTTTGCTTTATATTTGCTACTGAGCTGAATGTTAAACCATTAGATCAAGTTTCCAGTGATATCACATCCATATCACAGGCACCTTGATCTAAAGGTGAAGAGTACCTAGTTGGGCAATCAAATCCCCTCTCAATGCTGACATCTTATATCACTCATTTGTCTGATTGTGTTGACTTGTAGGGAACTCTGAGAGATTTGTCAAAAACGCCACCGCCGCCACCACCCCCAGGACAAAGTTCATCCCTTCAGCAAAGCGAAGAGGTAGAGTCTTTCTGTCTTTCTTTCTTTTCACCCAAGAGTTACTCGGTATTCCGTAACCATTTCATGCTCGTTTTTTTTAAGTTGTGGCAGAATGGAAATGTGCAGGGTGCTCAAATTATTATTAAAAGTGGAGAAGATGGAGACGAGTCACTGTGATTTTTTTACACTATTTGTTTAAACTACAATGACTGTATGATAGAAGCCTGTAGTTTAATCTTTGAACGCCTTGCTCTTACTCCATACTATCCTGTCCCATCATTTCATTTACTAGCTTTTGTGGTTTCTTCTGTGTATCATAGACAATGTAAAACAGATCACTCACTTCATAGAAATTCAAGTTAATCATCTTTGTATTTTGAAATATCATTACGAATTTGGATCTGACCCAGTTCTTGATTGGGAATTTGGGATTAGCTGTTTTTTTTTGCAATGAAACTGAACAAGCGATGATTGGTTCTACAGTTGGGCATAGGCTTGGCCTTATGATGCTTGGTTTGGGACCTTGGGTTCCACCAAAATGGGATCAAACTAGTTGATTTTAGCCCCCCTGCCCCCCATCATGCCCCTCTATTTTTATATTAAGAGGCCGTTTGACAACACTGTTTTTCGGCTTATCAGCCAACTTTTTCACAAAACACGTAACTTTTGCTTTCGCGTGTTGAATTGTGTAATAAGCAAAAAAAAATTAGGTTGGAGTTACTTTTCTGGCTGTATTGGCTGAAGTTAGTGTAGATGATCATTTTAGTTATTTTTACAATTAATTTTATCATTATTTTATTAATAGAATACATTTTAAAAATAAACTTTTTTTAAATCACCACAATCAGCCAATGCAGTCACTAAAGCAAGAACTTCATGAATTTTATCAGAATCAGCTAAATCAGTTGATCTTCGTGCTGCCAAACAGGTTCTAAAACAATGATCCGAATTGTGGATGAGTCTTGGTCCGATATTGTAGAGCAGCACTATGGCAATCCTGTCAAGAATGAGTCGAGCAGCACTATGGCAATCTTGACAAGAGTGATAGAGCATCTCCAATACAAAAACGGCAACAGTGCCTACATGAGAGTTAGGCATATAAAAGTTATTGAGTAGAATATTTTTCCTCATTTAGACAGTCTTATATGTATTTGGTAAGTTTTTCTCCACATTGTCAAGTATAATGTGTAGGTATAGACATCATGACTAAAATTGTCATGAAAAAGTTAATGCATAAGATCTTGGAAAGCAAGATACATAAATAAGAAAATTATCTTTATATATTTATTTTTCTCGTACCACATATCCGCTGTGCAATTGATACATGGAGATGCTTCCATATTTGGTGTAGGCGTGTAGCCGTGTAGTGTAGTATCATGGTTGGTAAGTTCGGCATTGTTGAGTGCTAAAGTAAAAGGCATTTTAGACAAAATATGGGGATTCATTTAGTCATATGAACATGTAAAACGCTTAATCGTAATGAGAAACTTAAGAAGAAATCTTCCACCTACAAAATACATTTGAATATGATGGTTTTGGTTTAATTTTCTAATTTTATTCCTTCAACTTGAAATATGGGTTAGTGTAAAAACGAGCCGGAAATGAGATGTAGAACCTTATTGTTGTTTTCTTTTTTACTCCGGGGGTCTGGGAGAGGGGGGCTGAGGGGCCTGAAATAATCAGAGCTGAAACTCACTTCATTGAGTTTCAAACCCTTTTGTGTCTAGCGGATTTTGAACTTGAGACCTCTCATTGAGTACGGTAACTTCACAATGAACTGGACTGGAATGCTTGGTTATAGAACCTTATTAGCAATTGATCTGGAATCATACTGAATATTACTAATTCTGGTTGAAGAGCCCTTAGGATAAGAACTGGGTGGTGTGAACCCCCGAGGGTCGGGTTGGGTGACAAGGCTAACAACTAATTTTACATTTTTCTACCAAAAAAAACTAATTCTTACATTTCTACCTATCCTTTGGCGCATTACTATATTGAGAGTAGTCTTCTTGTCCAGCCGGCCTGACGGGAACCGCCGTCCGGCCGAGGGCATTTCGGGCACTTCCCGATTGAATTTTTTGATGAAATTTTTTGAGCATATTCATCATGAAGTCTAGTTTATTCATACCAAATTTCAACTCAAAATTCGATCGGAAAGGCATTCAAATATATTTGTGTAGTTAACTGGGCAGTTTATATGTATGAACTGCCCAATTAACTTCAAGAAATTATTTGAGTGTCTTCCCGATTGAATTTTTAGCTGAAATTTTGTATGAATAAACTAGACTTTATGAGGAACATGTTCAAAAAAATTCATCAAAATACTCCACCGGGAAGTGCCCGAAATGCCCTCGGCCAGACGGCGGTTTCCTTCAGGCCGGCTGGACATGAAAAGTCCTCACTGTATTGAATTCAGTGAATAAACAATATTAATATATTATGAATCAAAATCATCTCTTCAGTTCTCAAGAAGAGTCATGATCAAGACTTCAAGTAATCTTCTTTCGCAGTCACCTCACTCGATACTTGCTTTTGACATAAGCAAATTGTCGTTTGAATCCCTAAAAATGGAAAATAGCTTTCAATAATTTAAGACATTATCCATCAATTAATAATTGTACATGCTTTTAAAAAATTGTCATACTCCAACTATTTAAAATTGTCATACGCCAGTCGGATCGCTTATAACTCATATAAGCTTGCATAAACCATCAAATCAGTTGGTTGTTTGATATAATTTTTTTAATGGATGACTAGATATATAGTCAAATATTAACTCAACCAACATGTTGAGAATTAAGGTTTTGTTTTATTCATTTATAAATATATACTCCATATACTTCGTATATAGTTAGTAAGTTACTACTATCCTATATCATGAAGGTCAACTGGTAATATGACCCTACAATGTTTTACCTAAGCTCATTGAGGCTGGGCTATACCTAGGGATGGACCCGGGCCGGGCCGGTTCCGGTTCCGGGCCGGGCCCGGGCGGGCTTTTTTTCGGGTTACATGGGCCCGGAACCGGCCCGGGTTGATACCGGGTCCGGGCCTAACCGGGCCGGGCCGGGCCGGGCCCGGTTCAATGTTTTTTTTTTTTACTTTCTTGTTATCTCCCTACCCCCCCCCCTCACCCCCATGCCCCAAACCTCCCTAAAACACCCAGCCCTACCCTAGGAAAAGAAAAAAAATTGAAAAAACCAAAAAAAAAAAAAAAAATGAACCGGGCCCGGCCCGAACCGCCCGGGCCGGTTCAAGAAAAATAGGGCCCGGAACCGGCCCGCCCGACCCGCCAACACGGGCTAAAAGCCCGGAACCGGCCAACCGGGCCCGGTCCGGTCCGGGCCCGCACAGTAGCGGGCCGGTTCGGCCCGGCCCAGTCCATCCCTAGCTATACCGTTATGCGTTTTAGTTGTCTTTAGGGCCCAACCCGACCCGGACCCGCCTGCCACCCAGGCCGGTTCCGATTCACCCATTGTCAAATAAGTCCGGCCGGACCCGGGCATGAACCGGCCCGGGTTCACCTATAGTCCTATAGGTACATTTTTGTACACCCTCCCCTATTTTTGCCATTGTACATACTACATAGGTGAGCTACACAGGCAAAAACAAGGTACACGAATTTATCTCTGGTATGGGATGAAGGGAAAAATCTTGACTTTAGTGTTGACAAATTATCATTATAAAAACACTTTGTAAATAGTCAACTTACCCCAACGAAAACTGCAATAGCGAACATGATATCAAAACTCGAGTACGGCTATAAGTATAGCAAAAAGATGTAAAGGGCAATGTCAATAACATGCTAACAACTTGTTTCCAAGAAATAACAAAGAAACTCTCAGCAGTTCGACGAAACATTAAGTTTAACAAAATAAATAATAAAAACATAAGTTCAAAACACTAAGGAGCAAGAGGATCCTGATACAATCCCCAAAAGCCAAAATGATGCCTTAGTTCATCCTTCGGATCAATTCATTGATATAATCTTCCCTGTTGCCAGCATCTCCTCCTTCAACATAATGGTTTCTCTTCTTCTTGAGACCACCCAATGGAGCCTTGAGTTGGAATGGCCACAAGAAATTGTTGGCCTCCCTGAAATGTGGTCCCACTGTGATGATCTCATGAACCAAATCTTCAATGCAGATTATGTTGTACTTGCCAAGAGCCTGTAATGAAAAGGAATGCTAATTAGCATAAATTTACTTCACCCAAATTTGTCAAAAAAAAACCATCTAGTGATATGTTTGAATAGAAGTCATTCAAGGGCTTAAGAGTACACCTTTATAAATGAAATGTTTTTAATAAAACAAACAGGTGAATGAAATGATATACATCCATATATTCTACAAAAACATCTTGAGTTATATGGAATCAGAAAAGTGTTTTATACAAGCAAGTATACATATATAGGCAAAGCCCTTCATAAGATTGCTTTGTTAACCAAGACATCCAAACAGATCCCAAAGTCAAAGAAATCGTGATTTACCTGTTCAATTACGGAGTTGTCCGTGAAGGGAATTCTTTGTTTGTTAACCTTTCCGAATCCTCTCTTGTAAATCAACTCCCTGACGCTCTTCAAGTTGGGGTACCTTTGTAAACAAGAACAAATCATTCAGAACCATGCCTAGATTAATGAACATGTGCTTCAAAAATTGAGCTAAATAAGATATATAGATATAGGTAGATCAATACCCAAAAGCGACGTATGGCTCGACCTTGTGCAACATGTTGGTTGTAGCTTTGTTAACCTTTAAAAACACACCGTTGAATATCTGTAGGTTCAAGATAAGTTGGTGAGCAACATTTTCGGGGACAAACATTTTGAAAGAAAAGTGACAAGTATTCATCAAAGTACCTGTCTCAAACGGAGAAGCTGCAGGATCTTTTTGGTGTTGGGGTGCATGGCATTAATACTGAAATACATTACCAATACCAGAAATGTCATTTATTAGTGAAGCACGAATTACACTAATTTTATGCCATCCCATCCCCCCAGTCAGACTTGAAGAACTATGTTTTATAGTCCCAAATAAGTCCATGGCTTCAATTTGAATAAAATGCTTATAAAGCCCGTTATGAAGTGGGTTACTAAACTAAATTCAAGCAATTTGAACTCAAGTTTGGGAATAAACAAGCGACATTTATAGCCTGCAAACGCTTACACCCATGGAGAAATACAACAAATAATTCAAGCATTACCCACGGATACGAATGATGAATAGCAGTTTAGCTTCAGGGTTCACGTAGAAACCTCCTTTCAGCCTAGCCTCGCGCTTCATCTGAACCAGCTCCTTTTGCTACATTATTACAAATTCTAATCTTAGATAAGACACATAAAAAACCAAAACCCCAATGCCTTACACTGTCTATACATAATCACAACGATTGGAAACAAAATAAGGCAATAAAATACCTGCTTCTCGTATTCCTCAGCATACAGTTTGGCCCTTTTGAAGATTTCCTTCCTGTTTGCAGCATTCTTCTTCCGGGTAGCTTGAATTTCTTCCTTCTTGATGAGCGCCCACTCCTCTTCCCTTTTCTGCTTCTTCAATACTGACTCAGGGACGCATACTGCACTTTGCGCTTCAGCCATCTCGACCGTCTGGGTGAGAGATGAGCGGCAGTGAGATTGTAGATCGAATGACCTGGTATGCGTCGAAGAGAAAAGGTTTTAATATGAGCAGAAGTAGGGTTACTTTATTCCGATCCTGGGCATGTGAGTTTATAATTGGGCCGGATCAAACACTTTGGCCTAATAACTTTTTGGGGGGAAACTTTGGCCCAATAACTTTAAATCACTTAATTTGGCTGATTATAAATAGTAATTTACTGTTTCTTAAAAATTTGTCAACTTTTCTGTTTGATTGTCTCACTAACTTTGTCATTTTATCGATTAATTACAAAAAATTTTCTCCTTTTTAATTTTCTCTCGTCTATGCAAATCTCAATCAATCAGTTGTTTTATTATTATTCTTCGTATCGGTCAAACATAAATGAATTGTAATAGACGAAAGAACTATTTTTTTGGTAGCCGTTGGATAACATTGAAATCAATTAAATAGGTTGAATTTGTTGAAACTGATGAAATTCTAGCTGAATAGGCTGACTTCACTAATTTGTATATTTTTTTCGCATTATGAAAATTTTTGTATCGATATTTTTTGTCTACAAGTTTAGATCATACGTAGTATAAAAATTTGGAGGCATTCAATTTTAAAGACAATACACATCTAGTATAGAACAAAAAATTGAAAAACATTTCGGACAGAGTAAAATTATTGTTTATCTTACGTTTATTGTTTGTAAAAATGTTTTTATATTGTTTGTCTGTGCCCTAACTTAACAAGTAAAATTATTGGTGCAGAAGATTTAGAACATGTATATAAAAACATACAACTGCTACCCTATCTAGACATTTTTGTGTACCTGAAATTTACTTTCCATGTCATTGGATTTCTTCGTCTGAATAAATTCCACTTTTGGTCCTACGAGTTTCAGGTCAATTTCACATTTAGTCCACATCTTACACTGTGTCCATTTTTGATACATGACTATTGTATTTTCGCTCATATATGGTCCTTCCGACATTATTTCCGATGGTTATAATCGTCGGAAAAGGATCACAAACGGTTAAAAACATAAGTCAAATACCAAAAATGGATAAAGTGAAAGACGCGGACTAAAAGTTGATTGACACAAAACTCGTAGGACCAAAGGTGGAATTAATTCTTCTTCGACCAACATTTTTTGGCCTTGTATAAAGCTTTTATTTGTTTGTCTTAGGTATTTATTGTTTGTAAAATTGTATCTTTTCAAACGACATCTTTCGCTCATCACCTAACTTTACAAGAAACAATTGGGAGTGCCAAAGTTTTTTAAAATGTAATATACAAAAAATATAAAGTTGGATTGTTGGAGGGGCGCATGATGTAGCTGATAGAGAGGCAAAACATGTTTTTAATTGGAGTGGACATTTACGGTGTTGATCTATTTAAGTATTGTCTCATATGAGCTAGTAAACAATATGTTTTACTAGAGAACATTATATATGTCAGATATGATCTAATATGATTTGTTTGAGTTTGATGTCGCCTAATTTGGGACTGAGAAGAGTAAACCACCCCAAATAGGAAGGAAGGGGGGAAGAAAAACAAAAAAGAAAACAAAAAATAAAAGAATAAAAGGTGAATAAAAGAGAGAAAAATGAAGATAATAATTTAAGAGAAAATACAAATTGAAGGAGAGAGTTAGGGTTGTGACCGATTCGGTTATTAGACAAAACAAATGGAATCATTTTAAAAAACAATTCTTAATATCATTTCAATTCTTATAAATTATTTGTAGAATCGACATGGAACTAATCAAACCTCAATAGTCCAGTTCTTGTCATTTTTTCGATTACTAATAATTTTAAAATCTCCTATAAATCACAACTAAATTTGTCTCACATAAAGACATTCAATGTTTGAAATGATAGGAAATATGAATATACTCCCTCCGTCTCTAATAAATTTGCCAAGTTTGATCGACACAGAGATTAATAAAGTAAAAATTGCGTGGTTGAGGTTTGTGCAGAGAAAAGAAAATTAACTGCAACCACAAATTCTTTACTTAAAACATAAAGTAGCAAAGTTAATGGGATATCCAAAAACGGAAAATTTGTCAAAGTTATAAGGAACGGAGGGAGTATTACACTTCAAACCTCAAAGTTAAGTTTCAAATATTATAATTACATAATAACAACAACAACAACAACATCAGAGGAGGAATGGATCGGGCCCGATCCGGTTTCAGGTCAGGCCCGGGCGAGCTTGGTTTTTCTGGGGTGAACCCTAGCACCGGCCCGGAAATCTACTGGTACTACGTCGGGCACAGGCCAGGCCGGTTCATTTAATTTTTTTAGCTTTTCTTATTTATTCCAATCGCCCACCCCCAAACTCCGCCAAAATAGCTGGTCCAGCCCACCTACCACAGGCCCAAAAAACAAAAAACAAAAAGGCCCGAACCGGACCCGGCTGGGCCGGTTTCTACTTCCCCAGTCCGGAACCGCCCCGAAAAAACCTCAGGCGGGTCCCATGCCCGGAACATGTCCCAGTTCATCGGGCCGATCCAGTCCCGCACAGTGGCGGTCCGGCTTGGTTCCCGGGTCGGTCAGACCGGAACCGGGCCACCCCTACATCCAAGCCATATTTCCAAAAGATTTTAGGATTGACTAACATGATTCATATTATGGTATTAGATACGCAAAGAAAAGAAAAAAAATATATAATAAAACTAAATATAAAAGGTAAGGTTAAAAGGATACTATAAATAAAATTAACATAAAAATATAATAAATACAAACAAGATATAAAAAGAATTTATTGTTGATTTTTCAAAAAGAATTTTCTAACCCACATATCCATTCTTATTTATGACATTTAAACTAGGGGTGAATAAAAAACCGAAAAACCGAAACCGACTAACAAATCGACCGAAATTCGCTTTACAGTTTACAGTTGTACCCTTGGGTTAAAAAACAAGCCAAACCAAAATTCGCTAACAAAACCAGACCAAAACAAGCTAAAATTGACCTAAACCGATACAAAAAGATTGAAACGATTCAAATTTTCTAGTCCGACTCTCAGCTTCACCTGTCATAAAAATCGCTAAATCCGGCCGATTACAAACCGAAACCGACCATGTACGTTCAACTAAAAACTGAAACCTGCAAAAACCGAACCGATAAAACCAAAGTCTGTGAACACCCCTAGTTTAAAAACTTGAAGCACATATTTACTATTTAGCCGTATTTTACAAAGCCCCATGCATCACACAAACATACAGATCACCATCTTTATAGTTCCAGCAAGGTATCGAATTTCCAGAGAGCAAAGAAAAAGAGACTTGATCGATAGATAGATAAATTGTAAAGGTAGTGATTATAAAATCGTTCCCGGGCCAAACCAACAACACAGAAAGGTACAAGGATCAAACTCCAACCTGAGCGAGCTTGCATTGGGGTGGGAAGAGAACATCTTTTTTGTGCTTTTGGATATATTCTGTTGCTCTATTTAAAGTCTCAGTATATGTCCAAATAACTAAATGCAAAATGGAGATCGAAAACAAGTAGAAAACAGGTCTTCTTAAATGTTTAGATGTATCTCAATTCCAAAGTTATTCAATACGCGGAAAAGATGATGAACAGCCTAGCAAACCTAATGAAACCAGTTTGGGCCTCTTGCAAAATCACTTCATTTTCTCCTCCTTGAACAGAACATGACAATTAACACGAGGGTCAAACTTGAGAAATTCAAGTTTTGTCTGACTAGTTTGAAGCCTCTTTGTCTTCTTCACCACATAGAAGAATCCTGTTCCTGCTGCTGAAACAAGTTTCACAAACATTGCACCTGCCTTCTTTTTGTCACCCATTTCCTTGTTGGACCTGGTGGCGGGAAAGTACAGGGCGAGTAATAGCATATAAAATCATCCACAGATGAGGGAAATTAAAGAAATAAAAGGAAAAAAAGATAAGTAAATCAATAAAATGAGGTGGATGGCAAATAAGAACAATAAACAATCAATAGCAATTAGCCATAGTTACAAAGGCTACATGATGAAGGAGAAATTGAATGTCCTTAAACAGTTCATATGTTTAACTTGCTGCTTTTTTTGGCCAGGGGGCGATTGCCTTATCTAATATAGAAGGGCATATTTGACAGTTTTTTTTTTTTAAGTTAAAGATTGGATGAGAGAATATTCACTAAACCTGCCACTGTCATTATTCTCGAGAGGCTTTTCGTTTTCTCCTTAGAAAACCACCACAGGCCTAGAAAAGCTTGATCGGAGATTTGAGCATTTAAAGGAGTGAGTTGTACTTATTGAATTTAGATGCACATTAGCATATGTATTTGCCTTCATTTGTTTTGAATGATGCATTCTTCTGTGAAGTGCATTTGGTGCAATCTCTACTTTTTCTATGGAAGAATAACATCCCTACCTGCCCTATACTTTATCCTTCTCCTTCCCCACAGTCAAGCCTACTAGCTAGGTTGGCATGCTTAAAATTGGTTAGATAACTTAGATTACATTAGCCTGTGCTTAACTTTCTACCTGCCCTTAACTTAGATTCATGCAAAAGTGTCTATTTCTGTTATGCTATAAAGATGTTGAATTTTTTTAGTGACCTTTTAAGTGGTCTTCTTTGCGAGACCATTACTATCTTGCTATCTACTTTATGAACTTACACTTTTCATTCCTCATTTCATCTATCTTCATATGCTTGGTATATTATTGGATTTGGCATGTAATCAGTATCCCTTATCTATGGCAGGTACTGCAGTCAGCAGCTGGGATTCCGAGACAGGGGAAAGAATGTGTTCATGCACAACAGAATTACTTATACTATGCAGTTTTTATCCCATACATTTTTAATTCTGCATTTATACAGTTTTTTTCCCTTTCAATTATATAGTTTTAAATCTACATTAGTTCCCCTTTTTGAAAAACAGGGTTCTTCGTTGCTTGCTAATAATTTTGAAGGTGCAGAGAGAGAAGGTTTGCAGAGAAAAATGTATGAAGAGGAGTTCAAGATACTACAAAATTTTAGGGAAAGGATGCATCTGTTGAAATGCCAGGGCCTGATGCAACAGAGATTTATGTGATA